CACAGGTGACCTTGGGAAGGATAGACTTCCTGGACACCCCTGTCATGAGCAGCTTCTTGGGCCAAGAGAACCAGCAGGGCCGCAGGTGGGGCCTGGCCTGCATGGGGGCAGAGCAGCACAGCCCTGGGCTGCCACGGTGGGCATAGCCCCCTCAACTGGGCTGGGCCGCCTCGGGCTTCTGAGCTGTGCAGCAGCATCTGCAGCTCCCTGCGTCCTCAGCTGAGGCCAGGGGCTCCCCGTGGACAGCATCAGGTGGTTGGCATGGCAGGATGGCATTAGCAGTGAGGTTGGCATAGTGAAGTTGTGTGATTTGTGGGTAGCAATGAAGTGTCATTTGCTCCGAGCACACGAGTGATTTGGCCAGGTGAGGACTGGCTGGAGTGGCCCTGGCCACGGGCACTGGATTCCACATATGGTGTCGACACCCACAGTGCCATGAGCGTGCACACGTGCCCCCACTGCACAAGAGGAAGGGGGGTTACACGCAGAGGGCACAGTGTCACCCTGTGTGGACAGCGTTCAGTAACATCGCCCACGCCCCAGGCCTGTGCTCAGTCTAAGGGCATGCTCTTTCTAGAGCGGAAATGCCCTCTGCACTCACTGGCTGAGTGTCGCAGGCCAGGAGCTGAGCGCACGCCTCTGTGCGGCCACTCCCGCCCAAGGCACGAGCTGCAGCCTGGGCCAGCCAGGTCATTGGCCAAGAGTGCTTCCTGGGTCCACTCTGGGCACATCTATACTGCCAACATCTTGGGCCACAGTGACACGTTCCAACCGCCATGGGGGCCGTGGTGCTTCCTAGCAAGCTGTGGTCACTTCTTTAAAGTGAGGCTGGGCCCACCGAGCCGCGGGGGTGGCAGGGCACTGAAGGGTCACCCTGGCTCTGCTCACGGGGCGTTGTTCTGCCACCAGGCACTCCAGGAAAGCACAAAGGCCCGTGCCCTCACGCTCACACGTGGGAAAAGGCGTCTGTGAAAGTGGCTTTGGCGATAACTTCAATTAGGAGCGTGCAAATTCCAATCTGTCTTAATCAAACAACACCATAATGCTTGTATTCTAATTAAAAATAATTCCTTTTATTACTCTTCACAATCTGATTGAAGAAGGCAGAACCGCCCCATCGCCTCGGCTCTGACTTCCTCAGGTAGGGTGTTGCTACACTCTTTTAATTACTATTAAACAAGCAAACGCTACACTCTCAGACAAATATTAAAACAAGCTTACACTCGGTTATTAATTTGCACGATTCACTTTTAAATGCAGCAAATATCTCATTAATTTAATTTGAGGTGCCCACCAGCTTATATTGCCTTTTACAGTCGAGAAGGCAATTCGCCATTAACTGGCAATTACATACACAGTGACTGCTAATTCCGCCACTTCAAAACGTTCCCTCATCTCCGACCTTCCAACGGGGGAGGCACCGTGGGATACAAAGAACCAGCATGGAGGCTGCTGGACATGTCCTATGTGACTCATTCGTTTAATTCACCGTGCTCATCAACTGACCTGCCACAGCCGCCCAAGGTAATCGTGTCCTGGAAACCAGGAGGGCAGTGGACAGGACCCGGACGGGTGGGCCCGGGCCCGGTGGGCGGACAGGCCGTGCGGCGGAGCGCCGAGTGCCCACTCGGGGTTGACTAGTCAGGTCTGGTCCTGCCATGCCTGGTGTCTCTCAGATCACTGTAAACAGACCTTGCAGGCCTTGCGCACAGAAAGCCAGGCCTGGGTGGGCGGCCCCTCCTTCCTCAGCCCAGGCCTGGCCGCCCCACGCCGGCCTCTCGCCGGGAAGGTTAAATGTGAGGGTGTCCCGGCAGCCTCTGGGGCCGGGGACACTGATGGGAACCAGACGCTTGGGGACGGCGCCCGGGCCGGGGCGCCCAGCGGGTCCGGCTCAGTTTTCAGCGGGAGTGCAATTCCCGGTGATTAGCTCGTTGTCCCCGTCAATTTCGGGGCGCTGCAAATCAGACAGAAGCTTCCAGGTCAGACAGGCTCTGACCCCACTGTTCCTTGGCTCCCTGGGCGCACACAGCGCGTTTGAAATGTATATTCCTGTGAATGACGGGGGTGGGGGTCATAAATTAGCCTCGCGCCAGGAAGGGCTGGGCTGCTTGAATAGCCACATTGAAAATGCCCGTTTCTGGAGAAGAGCAGCCCGGCCTGTGGACACCACAGCCCCTGCAGAGCAGAGGGCGGCTTCCTGCACAGGCCCACGTGGCCGTCCCAACCAGGCGACACACCACAACTCAAGAGCCAGTCAGCCTCTCACGTCCGAAGGTTCACCCCAGGGGCTGCCCAGAGAGCCCCCTGCCTACCCCCCTCCACCCTCGCAGCTGAGGCAGCCAGGGACGCCCTGGCCTCCGGGTGGGGCGGCTCCTCCCAGCTCTCCCTTCACACTGGCCTACACTCACGCACTGAGCCCCACGCTGTCTCTACCACCTGGGCATCCCCAGCTGCAGACAGCAAAGCAGGCCAAGAAAGGAACTGGCTCTTTCAAGCCCTTTGCTCTTCATCTCAAAAACAGAGCCAAATAAAAGCAGGGGGTCTCCACGCTCCAGCACAGGCCCACCAGCACAGAGCAGTGGCCCGTGGAAAGCACCTCCTGGAAACTCAGCCATGACAGGTGGACACTCTGCACGGAACCTCAAGCAGACCAACGCTGTCCTGCCACGTGCCTCACGCAGCGAGACCCGAACCCACACAGGTCACCCGGCTCAGATGAGCGCCTGCCACAATACGTGGCTCAAGACGTGGATGGGTGTCCCACAGGCGCCACCACCGCCATGTTCGGTCCCCGTAACTGTCCACAGAGGACCTGCCACATGTGGCCTGCCTCATGAGGCCCAGCTGAGGAGATGGTTAGGCACCAGACACCAGGTTTATAGCCACCTGCAGCGCGCAGAGCCTGTCTGGTGGCACCTGCTGTGCAGACTAAAGGGCACGGCTCCACGGCAGCAGGGGGCATGAGGCGGCATGCTGAGCGTGCACGTACCTGCGGGCTGACGACTTCTACAGGAAAACAGCTGCACTGCCAGAGGGGCCCCACCAGGGCCCGGCTTCCCTCTGTCCCCAGGCAGCTGGTAGCCACAGCGGCACCGTGACTTACAACAGGGTTACATACAGCCTGGTAAGCCCAGCACACAAAGGAAACACCAGACACCACATGAGGGTCCCAGGTTAGAGGCCGGTGTCCCACAGGGAAGCTACGGCAGGCAGAGGCCACTACACTGTGATCCAGCTCCCTGTCAGTGGGAGAGGCAGCAGAAGATGGCCCCAATGCATGGGCCCCTGCCACCCATGTGGGAGAGCCAGCAAGCCAGGCTCCTGGCTTCAGCCTGGCCCAACCTTGGCAGTGTGGCCACTTGGGGAGCAGACCAGTGGACAGAGGCGCACATCTTGTCTCTCTCAACCTCTCTCTTTTAAGCATCATAAAACTAAGTGCCTATGACGTAGCTGCCCAACAGCCCTGCCGAGCCTCACCTAGGCGGCCAGGGTTCAGAACACACAGGCCCCGCAGCCAGGGGCTCCCCAACAGCCCTGCCGAGCCTTACCTAGGCGGCCAGGGTTCAGAACACACAGGCCCCGCAGCCGGGGGCTCCCCAACAGCCCTGCCGAGCCTCACCTAGGCGGCCAGGGTTCAGAACACACAGGCCCCGCAGCCGGGGGCTCCCCAACAGCCCTGCCGAGCCTCACCTAGGCGGCCAGGGTTCAGAACACACAGGCCCTGCAGCTGGGGGCTCCCTAGCACACAGCCTGTGCAGTTTCAGCAATCATTGGACAGGATACGCTCTCGTACCCCTGCACTCTGCAAGGTGACAATGTCTTCTGGGTTCACCCAGGACCACAGTACATGGGGTTTAAGGACATCCACCTTTTGGAGACCCTGTGGCTCAATATGCCAGGGGGCTGACCTCCCCTCGACTGCTCCATCTCACAGGGAGGCTACGAGCACCCGGCTGCAGGACAGGACACCCTCCCATCAGCTTGAGCCTGCTCAGGGTCTTCCCACCACTCATGCCTCCCTTGGGGTCCTTCGGCAGTCCTGGGCTCCTGGCCCTTCCGGGGCTGGTCCAGCCTGGGCCAGGTGCTACCTCCCCTACCTGGACCACCTGTTGTCAAGTGGGTGGTGACAAGAGAAGGCAAAGCTGCCATCCACTGTCTGGCTGGTGCCATGGCCCTCAGGTCCACTTGATGCAGGAGCACCCCAGGCCACAGGTACTCAGCCTGCCCTCATCCCCGTGGCACACTGCTGGCTTGAAAAACGCAGAACCCAGACGTGTCTCCAGCTGTCGTGTGCTTACAGCATGCCTCAGTGGCAGTCCCTGACACAGTGCTGCCCAGGCCTGCCAATGGACACGGTGCTTTGCAACACCTATGTGATGGAAAGTTCCTGGGGCTGTAGAGTCCAGCCATTCTGCAGGTACAAGCTGGCCCTGCATCCTGCAAGAACACAGACCCCCATGCAGCACTTAGGCCCCCCAGGGCAGAGCACCCGAATCTGGCTAACTCACTCCCGGGCCAATGCCCAATGCGGTGAGAACAGGCATCAGGACCGCTCAGAGCTAGGCACACCAGCAGCCACCCCAGTGGACACCGAGGACTCTGTGTGACAGACTGTCCTGTGGGCACACCAGCAGCCACCCCAGTGGACACCGAGGACTCTGTGTGAGACTGTCCTGTGGGCACGCCAGCAGCCACCCCAGAGGACGCCGAGGACTCTGTGTGACAGACTGTCCTGTGAGCACGCCAGCAGCCACCCCAGTGGACGCCGAGGACTCTGTGTGACAGACCGTCCAGCTCCATTTTGTCTTCTAAGTGGACCAGTAACTCGTGGCAGGGATGGAGGTGGGGTACAGCCAAGGTCACACAGCCCCCAGGACGGCACCTGTGCAGCCCACAGACGTGGAGGGCATGCAGCTGAGCCCCGCACCCTCACTAGAGCCTCCCGCTGGGAGGGACGCCCCAGCCCCCAGCCTGGCCAGCAGCCAGAGGCGTGGACTCACCGGTGTAAACGAAGCGCCCAGGAGCACCTTTGCAGAACTGCTTGGACTTGTAGGAAAGGGTGACTTCCACGACTCCGGGAATGTGCCGCGGTGGGGTCTGTACTCGGATGGCGTGAGGCGTGATCAGCTGTAAAACCACACAGGGCAGACAGCGCTCAGCGGCGCCTGCCGCTTGGACACCGTTACCCAAATGAGCACAAATTGGACCAACATCCCGGAATGCTCGCTCCTTGCTGCCACCCGCGGACTCGGGACCTGCCGTGCTCTTTAAGAAAATATCTGCAAACGATCCTGGGGTTTCGCTGGCAGGAAAGGCCAGAGGGCACCATTCACAGGAAAATTGCCACCATATGCCTCGGTGAACTTCCTGGGGAATCCCGGCGCTAACTGTTGCAGAGCCTGGAGGGCCTCCCATGGCAGGTTCCCAGGCCACCCGGTCCCACAGGTCCCATCAGAAAGGGATCCCGGGAGCTGGCACCATGGCTTAGGGGGTAAAGCCACCACCTGTGGCATTCATAGGGGCGTGGGTTCCAGACCCGGCTGCCCTACTTTCTGATCCAGTTCTCGGCTCATGCATCTGAGAAAGCTGCAAAGAATGGCCCAAGTGCCTGGGAAACCAGCCCCAACATGGGGGACCCAGAAGAAGCTTCAGGCCCAGCTACAGAGGCCATTTGGGGAGTGAACCAGCGGATGCAAAATACCTCCCCTCCTCTCTGTCTCTTGGTCTGCCCGTGTAACTCAAACTTCCAAATAAATCTTTTGCAGAAGGGACAAGGCCCCGTGCCAGGAGCCTATCGACAGCAGGCCAAGGCCAGGCAGGATGGAAGCTCAGGCTGCGGGCTTACCTCGCTCCACACCAGCATGGTTCCAAACACCACCTGGAGGCCATCGAAGAAGTTGTCTCCGATGATGATGACCGTGGCGCCGCCAGTGGTCCAGCCTTCGCTGGGGCTGATGGCCTTGATGCACGGCGTGGCTGGAACAGAAGACAAGAAAACGTAGACCTGAGCACGCTGGGCCGCAAGGCGGCCTTCCCTCCGCAGATCAGCGCGTGATGTGCTTAACGCAAACTAGTAAATGTTTTATGAAGCAAAGGCCGAGGCATGGAATACTAGTGAGCAAGAAAAAAAATGGCTTGATATAGCAAATTATGTGTCAGGGCAAATATGACTATTACAAATGATTAAGCATCGCATGCACGTGGCACGCCGATTCATCTGCTTTGCTATACACATCTAAGCAGAGGCAATCAGAGGGTTGTTGAAGGAGATGGAGGAGCAAACGTCTTGCATTTCGATTCCTCATAAGCAGCTAATTGGGCTGGGTTTTTTCATCCGCGAACTTTGCCTTTTGGTTCAAAACTTCATTTTCCTCTGTCACTCCCCAATCACTACTTTTCACTTTTCATCAGGAAAAAAAAAATCAAAATCACTGTATTAATATTTCGTCAAAGGTGACATTTCACACCTAGCGCTGTTTGCCAACGGCCCCCGAGCGCAGGCTTGGCCTCCCTTCGTCTCGCGAGCCCTCACATTTGCATGAATTATTACAACAGGGCTGCTGCAGCTGGCCATACAGCACGAGGGTGCAGGGGCAAGCAGTGGCCAGGCCACAGCCCAGGGGATGGGCATGGGGGGTCTGCAGAGTGTTCCCAGCAGCCCTGAGCAGGGAGCCCAGGTTGCAGGCAGCAGGCCTGCTGGAGGCCAGGCCTCCCCACAACACGGTGCTGGTGGCCCTCTGTGCCCAGCCCGGTGGCCCTGAGTGTACAGACTGCCGTAAAAAGGGTCACTCCTACAACCAGGTGCTTGCAAGCTCACCTCCGGGGCCATGCACCCAGTTGAGGCCCAGAACCACCTCCAGGGGCCCCTGCGTGGGCTGCACCTTGTGGGCAGCAGGGAACATTACTTCTGTGTGGAGCGCCAGAACCAGCCAGGCCTTCTTGCCAACGGCAGGACACCAGGACACCCCAAAAGAAGCAGGTCTAGCCTCAGCCAGGCCTCCACTGAGGGAAGAGGCCGGATGTCTGGGTGCAGTTCCTGGGGCAGCCAAGAGGGAAGAATGGGTCCCCAGTCTCCGAGGGGCACCCTCTCCTGGGCCAGGTTCCTCCTCCATGAAGGACGAGAGCCTGGGCATGGATCTGCCCTGGCAAGCAAGAAGGGGCCGCACCTAGCCCCTTCCTCGCCCCCCTCCTCCCGGCCTGCGCCCCAGCTCCTGGCGTCAGCCCTGGCTAGGAGGCTGCAGGCCAGAACCCTCCAAAGGACATCTGGGGCCTTATTAGGTCGCTCGTCCTATCAGAGCCCGGTGGGGCTGGGCTGCAGATAAATCATTTTTTTAGACTTGGGGTCAGATCTGGTTGCACGTCTCCATAAGTGGGAGTTTTCCGGAAGCCTGCATGCCGTGGCTTCCACGACGGGTCAGGGGCAGCCTGTGCAGCCCCCACCGAGTTAATCACCGTTAGCCATTGTTGTGGAGCGCACGGCCGACACGCCACCTCCCTTTGTTTGCTTTAATGCTGGACTCACGGGGGTTATATTTGCTCATTCCGCACACATCTCCCCCCGCCGCAGAGGCGCAGAGCACACACTGGGAGCCTGCCCTTAACTAGCGCTGTTGACTTCATGCTAATAAGTTCATACAAATTTTCATTTCTGAGGCTTCCGAATGACATTTGCTTTTCTTAATTGCATGGAGAGCATTTGAAAAGGAGCAGCTCTCTAAAGACTGGCAAGGCTCCTCCGAGGGGGCGACCTTCATCAGCACAGCCAATTACGGCAAATAATTCACCAAAAAAATTACAGTAAACAAATTTACTTTGGAGGTGAGAAAAAGAAAAAAAAAAAAAAAGGCCCAGCATCGCCGTGCACTCCCGAGACTGCTATCTGGCAGCTGTGGCCCGGCGGAGAGCGCGGCACCTCGGCTATGCGCGGCGCGGGCCTCCTCGCCGCGAGACAGCACGGGCCTGCCTGGGCCTCGCTCGGCCGGTAGCTGTCTTCCTTCTGCCTGTATTTGCATACATTTCAATGCACACATAGAGAGGGAACATGTGTTCAGTGGGAACCATAGCAAAATGAATTACACAGACAGCATTTGAGAGCTAATGATATACAGTGCACAATACACGCCAGCAGATGACAGGGCTGGGGCAGCAGCTGAAGATGGCAGAGCAGGCACAGCAGTGCAGGGCACAGGAGCCCTGGCGCTCCCTGGCCAGCAAGGCAGGCCATGGTCTGCGAGCCTCGGGCCTGAGCCCAGCCACGTGCAGCCCGGGGCCACCACGGTCCGAGCAAGGCTCTGGTGCATACCACAGCCTTAAACCGTGAGGATCCCATCTCAGCTGGCTAGGGCAGGAGCCCCTGGCATCGCAAAGGCCCTCCACGCCAGCTGTGGGTGGGCACCCCGATCGGCTCGTCCTGCAGACAGGCCCGGAGCCCGGTGGCAGAGACTGTGCATTTCCAGGGCAAAAACACAGCCGAGTTGGGACCCAGTCATCCTGGACCCAAACCCTGGCCGTTTCCTTCCCTTCCTCGGGCTCCCCCACCACTCCAGCATTCTGAGCCGATGACTTCCCGTTCATCAGCAGGCTGTCCGGGTAGTATCCCAGCATTTGTCACCTCTCTCTGCATTCACAACCACCGAGCTCTCCGACAGGCCTCATCTTGCCTCATCAAGACTTCTTTGTTCTGCTGCTAAAACGTCTTGTAATTGTGCTCGGGATGTCCAGATGGCTGGCTGATACTCCAGCTGACAGGATTATACCTTTACCTCTCCCAGGGCCATCTGTTCCCTGTAACTCGCTAAAGCCCCACGGCCTGCATTCAGTTGTCCTTATTGCATAACCCTAACCGCATTACGGCACTTGGCATGCAAATCGCCTCTGTGCTGCAGGCCGGGTGCTGGGCAGGGCGCTCCGAGGTTTAAACAGGGTTGGCGTCGTTGATGGAGGGACAAGCGACAAGGAAAAAAATGAAAGCCCGCGTTCTCCCGTGTCGTGCTGGAAGGTGGGGTGGCTATCTTCCCCTCGCTCGTGGTCCACACAGTAAATAATCCGCCTCGCTTTCTCTGAGCTCCAAGGACGCCGTGGCAAGCGGCCACGGCAGCAGCAGGGGGAGTTAGTTTACTTGGAAACCATCAGCGAGTGTGTACACACTGCTGGTGAATATTAGATGATTGGATAATGAGGTGTGAGCCTGGCGAGGCTGGGGAGGCTTGGCACTGTGCTTTACGGGGACACAGCTTCCTTCAAGAATGTGCAACGGGTGCCACGCCAGCGCCCCACCCCCGGGACGAGCCCTGAGTGGGCACGAGGCGCTAAGTGGGCTCTGGGAGGGCACGGCCCCGGAACGAACTTCCTAAGTGCCAGCATTCCCAGGAAGTGACGGAAGTACACCGGAGAGCCCTCCGGGGCCCCCAGACCGAGGAATGCATGGTGAGAAACAGAGCTGTCCCTGCTGGCTGGGGCTCAGAGACACAGAGCTGGCAGCCCGGCCACCCTCTGCACTCCCAGCGACCAGCCACTGCGCAGCGCGGGACCAAGAGCTTCTTAACTCAGGACAGATACTCAGTTCAAACAGGGCCAAAATGCCGAGAACTCAAGATCCCACCTGCATGCAGCCCTTGACGAGCTGGAACCTATCTCCAAGCTACTCACTGAGGGCCTTTATTTTTCTAAATGCCACATTTTCTGCTTATAGTCAAATGCTTTTTCATGCTACTTACAAGAATAAATACTTGTACTTCGCTCAGATCATAACAGCTCATTAGAGGAGGCGGACGCTGGCCCCAGACTCCAACCCAGCAGCAGAGGGCTGGGGAGGCCTCCGCGAACCCTTCGCCTCCTGGGCGGCAGCTCTCTGGGGAGACGAGGGACTGAGGACCCGGATTCAACCTGCTTAATTGTGAGCCTCATTAGTGACGGTTGCTAGGCAAACACACACCTTCCTTCAGCGCATGGGAAGGAGATAAACAATACGTCACCGAGGCTAATGACTCGGGGCTCAAAGCGACCTTTAATTATTATATTTTTGTTCTCTGAGACCTTCATCATTAATGTAGAAAAACAAATTAGCTTATTTTTGCGAACCACAGCAGACTCATCCATCGTCTCCATCCGGGTCGTATGTCACTCTGATGGCCCTGCCTGCACTCCACGCACGTTCGTGTGTGTGTGTGTGTGTGTGTGTGTGTGTGTGTGTGTGTGTGAGTGACTGCTCAGCGGGGGACCAGGTGCTCAGGGCTCACTCCCACGGCTGCCCTGACCCAGCCCCAGCACTCGCCAGAAGCTCATGACGACATGTCTGAGAGAGGAAACGGACCTGCTCAGGGGGCTGTGCTGAGCCTGGGCCTGGGCAGAGCAGGAAGCGGGACGCCACCGAGGGGCCGGGCTGCCTGAGCGCCGGACACCCCGCCCGACGCCCCTCCGGCAGCACCTCCCTTCTCACCAGCAAAGGCAGAAGCCAAGCCCTGGAGGCCCCCTGTGCACTGTCTGTCTTCTCATCCGCGCGCCTTGACCCCCCACGCTCTCACTCGCGCCCCACGCAGGGACAGTCCCCTGCTGTGGGTTGAGGGTCAGGACAGAACCACCTCCACCCACCACGGAAACGTGCAGTGTTTGGGAGGGAGCCCCTGTATGGGAACTTCAGACGAGTCAAAAGAAAACCAAATAAACCGAGATCATGAGAAGCATGGGTGGTAAAAGATAAATAAATAAGGTTTAGAAACAAACCAGTAAGGGGACAAGTGAGGGAATACAGGGCCTGGGCTGGCCAACTGGGAGGCGCGCTGCCCCATCCCCACCCTGCCTCGGGCCCATGTGACCAAGGGCAGGGGCCAGGTGGGAGCAAGGCCACGCAAAGTGACATAGGATGATGCAAAGGAAAAGACATACAACATGTGCCTACCATTGTCCAGATAAGAGGGGGCCGTACCTTCTGACGGGTCCAGACGGCGGGCCCGCCTCCCGTGCTTGGAATTGTTGTGCACAAACATGTTGTCGGACACGGCCAGCACGTGGCCATCCACGTTGACCGTTGTCGAAACAACCACCTGCGGAGATGAAGTGGATTTGAAAACAGAGTGGCTGAAGGGAGCAGAGCCGCCCCCCAGGCAAACGTAAGGTCCTGCCCAGCGATTCAGCACTAGGGGACACGCCGCTGGCCACCGGGGCCTCTCCAAACGGACGTGCAGGATGCACGCCCGCAGGCACGCGTGGGCTGTTGTGCTGTGTTTTCAGTCCAGATAGCCGGTCTTCAAACCCGGTGTGCTAATTACAGTTTAATCTCCTATTACGCTAACAAGGAAATTCAATCCAGGCAGAGACTCTGGCCATTAGCGTCAGAACACCCCTCCATCCACTCTCTGTTTCCATTGATCTGGTCCCATATTGATCAGGCAGTTTAATTTAAATGAGTTCACTCCAGATCGGGCTCTCTCGCAGAGTCGCCCAAAAGGCCTTGGTAAGCCGGGACAGGTCTTGAACCTACATCTGATCAGCAAATGACCCCTGAATCAGTGCCACCACAACATTTAACGTGTGGCCCCAACCACTCCCGTATCAGACAAGTCTGAATTGGATACAAAGAGAGGACAGGTTTCCAGCCAGCCAGAGCTGGGCGAGAGCCCTGTCTGCCAAGGCAAACTCCATCCCAGGGGCAGAGAAAGGCTTCCAGGTGGGGGTCCAGGCCCGGAGCACGGCATCAGGCACCGGAACATCGCAGCTGCCCCAGGGCAGCGGAGCAGCAAGGATCCATCACCCAAAGACCGCCCTAGGGACCCAGACACCTGCGCAGGGAAGCTGGTGGCAGACACCACAGCCCAGCCACAGAGACTTCTTGGCACAAGTGGGGTCGTTGGGAGGGCAGGGTGCTGTTTCCACAGGTGCCACAGAGCAGATCTGAGCCCAGCTAGCATCTGGATGCCACACAGAGACGCTGGGGCCACCTGAATGTGAGCCTCGTCCAGCACGAGGGGGCACGCAGAGGGACTCCCAGCCAGCAGGAGGCCACATAGTTGAGCTGCCGAAAACCCAAGGCCACGGCGGATGACAGACACACCAGCACAGGGTGTGACTCAGAGGGCCCGAGCGGGGAGGGCGTTCCTTGCTGTGCACAGGTGTGCTGGCTAAGCCTCTAACTGCCCCAGGAGGAAGTGTATTCATAAGTAGGACATACTGACTAATAAAAAAAATGTAATAGAAGCAACTCATGATAAATACCCAAGTCCATCACAAGCTTAAGGGTTTCAACCAGGAGCGAACACCACCTGTGTACACAAGGGCACTTCAGAAAGTTCATGCCAAGCAAAAAGAAACGATGCATAAGGCTACAAAGAAAAAGGTGAAGGCACTTTATCCACAAACTTTTCCAAGACGCCTCCCGGGTACGAACGCCCAAGTTTTTGCATCAAAAATAAACGAGCTCCTTGAAAGAGGAGGAGCAGTGGCCATGCCTACCACGTGCCCCACGTGGACAGCTTCTTCATCTCTCCCCCAAGGGCACTGCCAGGTACATGCCAGGTCTCAACCTCGGAAGAGCATCCACCTGCCCCACTGCCAACCTCGGGGGTCAGAGCGCCCCCTTTTCTGGCACTGCCCTAGGGAGCTGGGGAGAGAGGTTCTGTAGGGCCACTCGTGGGCCCAGTGGCCTCTGGCCACAGATGCAGGTGCCCTCCCAGGGGCCACTTCAGGCTCTGCCGTGTGTGGATGCATCACCACAGGCTAACCCCTTCTGAGCTCCTAGTCCAGCAGATGTTGAAGAAACAAGACAAGGTAAAAATAAAAGCAAAGACAGACACTGCAGTGGCTCTGCCAGCTGGATATGGGTCAGGCGCCAGGGGAGAAGAGCAGAGGCAATGCGTCCTATGTCCCCTACCTGGGCCAGCCTGCTGGGCACCTCCAGCCAGGTACAGGGACTGTGAGTCCCCCCTCCTTCCAGGGGCTGGGTGATGAGCTCCAGAGCCCAGAGACATCCTGCTGGGCCCCCTGGACACCGTGGTCAACCAGAGTCACTGGTGACTGATGCTGCAAAATCGGCCTCCAGCCAGACGAAGAGTCTGTGCCCGCTCAGCCCATGTGATCTCCAGGATCAACAGCCCCCATGCCACGGAAGCCCTGTGCGTGAAAAATAGATGCCAGCCCAGCAGCCACCAGGAAACTCTCCTGCCCAGCTGCAGAGCCAGTCCCCAGCCAGCCATGTGCCCATGTTCCCTGGAGCTGCCGTGTGGCCCAGACACCTGCCAGCCCTGTGCCCACATTCCCTGGAGCTGCCGTGTGACCCAGACCCCAGCCAGCCCTGAGCCCATGTTCCCTCCGTGCAGTCCAGCCACTCACAGCAAAAATCTTTGAAAAGAAAAAAAAAAGAGCTGTCTCTAGTGCTTGCCAACAATACCACGTGGCACCAGCCACACAGGTGGGTAAATCACCCAGACATGAATGACAGCACAAGCGGGTGGGTGTGGAGGGCAGCTACCAGTGCACCGTGTGGGAGGGACTGGAGTACGAAGCTTGGGTGCAGACGTGTGTTTTCACACTTCCACTGCCATGTCCAGAACACCTGTCCTGCCCCATAGCTTCCAACCATTCCCATTCAAAGCACGGAATTGTGGATTCTCTGGGCGCTGGCTCCTCCTGCAGCACCAGCACCCCACATGGATGTTGGTTTGAGTCTCAGCTATTCTACCTCCAATCGGGTTTCCTGGTGAAGGCCTGGGATAATGCAGGATGCTGACCCAGGCCTTGGGTCCCTGCACCCGCATGGGAGACCCAGAGGAAGTGCCTGGTTCCTGGATCAGACCAGCCCAATTCTGGCTGTTGCACCCATTTGGGGAGTAACTCAGCAGTTTGACTCTCTCTCTCTCTGGAGTTCTGCCTTTCCAATAAAAATAAAGCAAAGGATGGCCCTGGCCCCCTCCCCCTGGGACGAAGTCCTCTGAGGCAGTCAGCTTAGCTCCAGGAACAGCCGATAACCATACATGGGATCCAGGAAGGTGAGAACATGCTGGGAACATGGAAGGAAGCTAAGGCCAGGTGACGTTCTCGAGTTTGTACAAGCTTGTGTCAATGCACGGGAAGGCCCCGAGAACCGGGGGAGGGGCACCCATGGTGCCCCAGGGTATTCCCAGAACTGCAAGTGGATCAGCTGGCCATCTCCAGCTTGACCTTATTTTCAGAGCCAAGTTCAGGTGGCCGTGGTCATGGCTGTGGCCGTGGTCATGGCTGTGGCTGGACTCCAGGAATCTGGCACACCAAAGACCCCAGAGCATTTTCAAAAGCAAACGCTTAGGTTACATCTGTTGTCAGATGAACCCGCCCCGGCGTGCTCCTCAGTCCCTCGGAGAACCTGGGGTTACTTGGAGCACAGCCCTACAACCACAGACCTCGAAGGGCACGCGGAAAGCCGGGACTGGGTGCTGGCGTCTTTCACGAGCAGTATACCTGGAATCTCCGCATATCCCGAGGGTTGCCTGCATTCTTCAAACAGTTCTGATTGCACTTGAGGAAAAACTTTAGAAAGAATCTATAAAAATACAAAAGAGAATGGACATGCATTAGGGTTAGCAGACACGAGACACAAAGCTGTTCACACACTCTTCTGCACAGGGCGTGGTGGTCCACAGCTCCGGCAGTCCCGGAGGGGGTGATGCTGACAGGAGCCCCGGGCTGGGGGGCAGGCCGTGTCCCCTGCCCCGTGGCCAGCGACAAGTCTCTCCACAGCCAGGCCAGGAGCTCACATTGGTCCCAACCCTGTGGTTTCCACTCCGCAGTCACAATCATGACTAGCAGATTGGCCATTGCTTGCCTGGACCTCGTCATGACCCACCAGCAGCCACTGGGGAACGGTCCACCCAGCTCAACTGCCAACTTCAGCCCATAAAAACACAGTGAAGGGGGCGGTCTGGATAAGCAAGAAATCTTTTTTTTAAATAGAGGTGTGTCCCAAAGCATACCTACACTAAAAAGAAAAAAAAAAATGTTGCTTCTCTGAGACTGGCACTTGAGCTGTATTTTCTCTGGCAGTCCTGACTCTAAGCAAACACTCTGCAATTAGATTTTAGAGATACCAGGTTCAAGTCTTGAGAAAGACTCTGGGGCTTTATGGGCTATGCATTTAAGCGACTAACCAACAAACCAGTGTGTTCATCAACGACCACCCTGCTGGGGTCACAGAAATGAGAGCAACTGCGGGGGCCAAGCCTGGCTCCTGCCGCGCCCCACCCTGGTGCTCCATGGAGTCCCCGGGGTGCAGAGACACTACGGAGCCCCATGCCGGCCTGTCCACGTGCTGGCTCAGTGACAAGCTCAGGACATGACCCACCAATAAACACCAGGAGGTCTGGGTCCTGCTCAACCTCCACTCTCGAGGGCCACGTGTGCCACGAGTGGGAGGTGATGTGTTCAAACGGACAGAGCCACACGGAGGTGTCCACGAGACCATGCAGCCAGGGACCACAGGATCCACTCTATCTTCTCCCTGAGTATCGCCTGTCGTGCTTGGTCCCCTAGGAGACGACACGTGGTTTCCCTGATCTCAGCCTCATGGCCAAGGCTCCTGGCTGGCAGCTGCCAGAGCTAGCAAAGCCTTCGGCATACTCAGCTATCCTGGTGACGTCTGACCCGGCACAGGAAAACCCAGTTGATGGGGAAGGAGAGAGAGCAGAGCCGCTTAATCATATTTCCTTCCTCACCGTTTCAGGCCAGAACTGACAGCTCCTCTCGGCTCTCCACACCTCCACACTTAGCTCCCCGTGCCTGCTCACACCATCTGCCACCAGCCCCACTAAGGCACTTGCTATTCCACCCACCAATTTCTCCTAACAGCCACCGTGCAATTAAAGCCCACACGTTCCGCAGAGAGGTAAATGAGGCACACCTGCGGCCACCCCGCGTTTGAACTGCATCAGGAAGGGCCTAACAAGGGGAGTGCCACAAAGTTATCGTCCTGTCAGGCAATTAGGTCCTCGCACCAGGGGCAGCTCACAGCGCAATTACGCCCCGCATCAGCGCCCGCAAGCCCTCGTCTGCCAGCGCGTGCACAAGCCTTCGTGGGTGTTCCTGGGCTGGGGGTCTCCGATACCCCCACCGGTCGCCCATCTGCCTCCCCAAGAGCAGAAAGGGCGCAGAGAGCTCCCTGTGGCTTCCACGATGCTTCAGTCCTGAGTATCAGTGTGCGTCCGCCCCGGAGCAGCAGCAGGACATGAACGACCCAAGACATGTAGCAATGCCTCAGCACACACATGCCTACACACTCACACAACACACACGGAACACACATGCCTACACACTCACACAACACGCACGGCACACACATGCCTACACACTCACACAACACACATGCCTACACACTCACACAACACACACGGCACACACTTCAGCACACACATGCCTACACACTCACACAACACACATGACATACACCATTCAGCACACACATGCCTACACACTCACACAACACACATGACACACACCATTCAGCACACACATGCCTACACACTCACACAACACACATGACACACACCATTCAGCACACACATGCCTACACACACTCACACAACACACATGGCACACACTTCAGCTCACACAAGCCTACACACACTCACACAACACACACGGCACACACTTCAGCACACACAAGCCTACACACTCACACAACACACATGCCTACACACACTCAGCACACACAAGCCTACACACTCACACAACACACATTTACACATTACACATCCTCCAATTCAATACTTGCAACATGTGTGACATACATTAACGTGTGCAGCGTGTAAAATTGCATGTGGAGCATGTCGGCATACACAGAAGACATGTAGTGCCTCCATGACACATGAATCTAACAGCCAGCTGTGAATCCATACACATAACACACACCATATGTATACATGCTTCTGCACATACAGAGATGCTTGTGGCATGTACACAATGCAGAGACTCACATCACGTGCACACATGTGCATGAACACACTACCATGTATGCATGCAACATGCACAGGAACACACAGCACTTAGACTCATGCATGTGTAAGCATGCACACACGCTCACGCACACACTGGCAACACTGCACATCTGGCCGCGATGATCCCAGAGTACCCAGCATGCAGTGGGAGTCCTTGCAAAAGTCTCATGAGGCACAGGCCTGCAGAGCGGCACCCTCCGTGAGCGCTCAGGCCAGTCAACACGCGACGTGCCACGGAACGCTCAGCTGACCTCACGCCCAGTGGCTGCGACCAAGAGGAAGTCACAGCATTGGAGGGGGACAGAGAGGGAGGGGCCACAGCAGGAAGAAGGGGTGCAGAGGGAGGGGGCCATGGCAGGAAAAGGGGGGTCAGAAGGAGGGGCCACAGCAGAAGAGGGGGTCAGAGGAAGGGGGCCACGGCAGAGAAGGGGTCTTCAGCCTCAGGCTGACTACGTCTGACACACGCAGCGCACGCCTGCCTCCAACCAGACAGCTCAGGAGAGGCGTGCTCACAGCGAGTGGGAGCCAAGTGGCAATTCTCAGCCCTTGCTCTGGGCCCTCTGGCTGGCTTTTCCCGAGCAAATACCTGGCGACCACTCCACACACCTCCCGCACACTCCCACTCCGCCAAGGATTTGATGCTCTTGTTATGAGAGGAAAAATCTTCCCTGTGTTAGAAAATCTTTGGCTTTGGCACCGGTAAGCTCTGTATTACGGCTGAACACAGCTGTGCGGCTCAAAGCGGGCGGCGATAAAGCGCCTAAGCTGTCGTCAGTGCCTGACACCCAACTGTGCGCCCTGCAAGTCTGCGGGCATCTGTCGGCCGCCGTCGGAGTGACCAGGAAACACACTAATTCCCTGACCCCAGCTTTATTTCCCTAAACAGTCATCAGCTTTCACAGTGGGCACCGGAGTAAATCAAGCTTGAAATATGGGCTTTATTTACTTGTTTCTCGCAGGCAGAGGGCAGACAGCAGCGATTACAAAGCTACCACCCGACGTGGCTCCCTGGCCAGGTAACTGCGCAAGCCGCTGCCCGGGGTCCTGCAAAGTTCTGGGGACCAAGCTGGACCCTGGAAATGGGAACGCTGGACACGGTCCAGGAGCTCCCGCGGGCTCTGTGGGTCCCCGTGAGGGTGGCCAGGGCACAGCTGGTCCTTGGGGTATTGGGGGAAGCAGGGACTGGGGAGCCAGGGGCCACCCGACACCTTCACTTGGACAGTCCGGGGCCCTCACTTTCCACAGGACAATTCTCCTGCTGTCACCTGAGCTGTGGCCCCGACAAGGTCACGGCAGTACCACAGACACCCGACATTGCCCACGCCAGGCCAGCCAAGGTGGACGCTCTACCTGGGCGGGCCGCCTGCACCGAGGCCTGCTCCGGGATGGGCCCCCGCCACGGACACTAATTCTAAAGTCGGCTTCACTTGCTTGTGTTTAAGCTATGAATTAGTTCATTTATATTTACTTTTATGAAGCTGATTAACCAGAGCTTCTCTATCTGATGAAAATCATTTTAATTGTAGCGTTAGGCTCCTGTGTAATATCCATTACATTATGAACTGTTTGAATTCTACAAGGGTATTGTGTAAATTGGCCCTGTGCGAGCCAGCGGGCAATTAGGACCACACAGCTCTGCCTTCCACAGCGGCCGAACTTTGCGGTGTTGTTCAGGACAATCGGAGACAAAGGAGGCTGTTTAATTGTAATTTAATGGAATATCAAGGAGTCGGTGGTATTAGACCCTGGCAACAGCGAGCAGTGGAGAAAAATTAACTGCAATTATGTTTGATTAAAGCTATCCTTCTCAATAATCAGCGGTCCTGACAGACCGTGGGCTCCCGTGAGCTCCAGGACGGCAAGAGGTGGTGAGCAGTATTAAGGCCAATAAAGGGGATATTAGCATAGCTAATTACAGCCCTGCCGAACCTGTAAGGGGGCCTGTGTGTATTGTAATGTGCGAAATAATTGGTCAAGGCCGTTATCAATTACGTAAGGAATGAATCTGTTTGTCAGAGAAAAGCTGATGGGCCGCGGCTCTCTGACACCCTTCCGTCTCGGCTTCCGGCAGCCACTTTCCACCAGACCACGGCAAGCTGCACGTGGCCAACTCGCCGACAGAACCCTCCCACCAGCAAGTACAGGGTAATTAATCCGCCTCATGCCACCACCGTCCCGGCCACCGCTGCTGCCACCTCAGCGAGGCCACCCGTCACACCTAATGGTTCCTCGCCCTCTAGTCAGAGAAGTGACCTGAACTCCCCATCCGCGCCAGCTCCACGGGCACACCCTGGTGGGCCGTCCCGAACAGGGCTTGTGCCACTCGCGTTCTGCAAGTGGCACCGTCACTGGTGGAGAGTGGTCACTCACTCCATGTGACTGGTGCTTTAAAAAATAGAATAATAATATCAGCAACTGCAAAGTTTCCAACCGCTCCGCAGTCAGGGTTGGCGGGCGCTCAGGGGGTTGGCGGAGCCGGGAGGTGGGGCCCCGGGCAGGGAAGAGGCGCTGGCCCCGTGACAGTGCTGTCCCAGCACTGGCCACTGGCCACAGC